ATGTCCTGTGAAACTGGGGTCGCGGCAGTAGTAGATAAAGGGGGCGGTTTATGCGAGAGTAGGGATAAACGAGCGAGAGGTAGAGTGCCTGATTGATACAGGGGCGGCAGTTTCGTTAATAGACAAAGAGTAGTGTTTTAATATCAGGTCGAGTGCATTAGTTGTTAACACCATCGGAGGCCACGTGTTAAAAATCTTAGGAGTCTCAAATGATATCTTGAAGATCGGCAATTCAGAAATACAGTTTCCCTTTATGGTAACTACGAACTTGTCGAGACCAATACTAGGAGCAGATTTATTGAGAGAAGTAGGAGCAATTATTGATACAAGAAGCAAGGTGATTACAAAGTACGGCACACTGACAATACATGAAAGCTGAAGTTAGAGTAGCAAAAGAAGACAATGAAAAGAAACAGAACATTAACAAGATGCTCACGAAATATGCGAAGTCGTTCACGGGAGACGGAGAACCGTAGAGATTTTGTAATAAAGTTAAACATGGAATTAAAGAGCTGTTAGATGACCGCCAAATGACGCTGAGACTGTCGGAACCCGAGAAGCCATTTACAGTGGCCACTGGTGCGAGCGATCACCGTATAGGTGCCGTCTTGAGGCAGTCTGATAGAGTGGTGGAGTATGCCAGCCGTGTCCTTACGCCAACGGAACACATGTATTCAGCAGTAGAAAAAGAGTGTTTAGCGATTGTATGGGCTGTAGACAAATGGAGACCGTATCTACTAGATCGGCGATTTCACATCGAGACTGATCATAAGCCCCTACAGTGGTTGAAAACAGCAAAAGACTCCCGTGGGAAGGTGACTCGATGGATGCTACGTCTGCAGGAGTATGGTTTTAGCATCGGGCATGTGCCAGGGAAGGAAAATGTAATGGCAGATTATTTATCAAGGCCGGACACTGAAGCCGAACTTCCAGAGATAGCGTGTGCAGTTAACGGCCTAGAGGGAGACCCACTAGAACTTGTCCGACACCAGTAAGCCGACCCTTACCTTCGAAAGGTAAACAGAGTGATAAAAGAGGGAGATGTCGACAAGAGTGGAACAGACAAAGAATTAACAGTGTTGCATAGGCAGAAGGAGAGACTGAGAGTGAACGGATACGGATCTGCGCCAGGAGATGATTCGTGAATGTCACCAGGTAGCGCACACAGGTATTGCACGGACAACTGATTTGCTGCGACAAAGTGCGTACTGGCCAGTCATGAGAGACGATATTGCACGATGTGTTAGCGTGCCAGCGATGTAAACTAATGGAAGGAGATCGATGCATACGACCGCTATTGCAGTCAATCCCAGTAACAGCAGTTGGTGACTTGTGGTCAGTGGATGTTATGGGACCGTTCCCGCAGACGACAAGTGGTAACCAGTACCTGCCGGTGATGACTGAGCATGCCACACGATGGGTAAATGCCGTGCCGATGGCGGACCAACGTGCAAGGACGGTGACGGAAGCGGTAATGCGGCACATTGTGGCAGACCATGGAATACCAAAGATAACATTAACCGATCAAGGTCCCTGTTTCGAGAGTGAGGAGTTCGAGTCCCGTCCATAACAGTTAGGTATCAAGGGAGTACAAACAACGCCGTATCATCCACAGACGAATGGGTTAACGGAAAGGAATAACCGAACGCTAAAGGAATGGCTAGCATCTAAAGGGGGTAACTGGGAGAAAGAATTACCATTAATCTTGCTGGCACATCGTGCCTCAGCACAAGGAACAACCAGGAAGTCACCGTTCCAGCTGATGTATGGCAGACGGCCGAGACTACCAACGCATGATAAAACCTGGCCGCAATAACAGAGATGGAATACAACAAGGTTGAGAACAGAGCGGAGACAAGCAATCAGGAATGTGAGAGAGAAACAAACATCAGACATGGGGAAGTCAGAACAGGAGAGAAAGAAATGGAGACCGTTTGAAGTGGGAGACCAAGTGAAGTGTAGAGAACGGAAATATATCACAGGAAGAGGGCCAGGGTCAGGCAAGCTGGTCCCGAAGTAGGAGGGACCTTATGTAGTCAAGAGGGAGAGACGTGGCGCAGTGTATACGATCCAGAAAGGAAACAAACAGAAACGCGTGAATGACAGTGAACTTCAAAGGTGGTTCCAGGTGCGCCAAGAGGGCATGTTGGAAGTCACGACTTAAAGATGGTGTGCAAATAGAGTATTCAATGTAATGTTTTCGTTTTTAACTGACTCAGAGTGTAAATTTTCATAATACAATCTTCTTCGCTTGCCTCAGTCTTCTCAGTACGACTGAATTCTCTGTACGGACTAACTGGACTTATTTAAGAGCTCAAGGCTTGTAAATGCATCAGTAACAACTTGCCGTATATCTGGAGGTACGCTTTATGATGAATAATGCCAAGATTTGATAGCGATAAGTTCTAACCCCACTGAATAATGTGAACGAACATTCGTCTACATGTACGGATTCGCTTACTTGAAAAACAAAGTTCTTGACCAATGAAAAGCACTCGTCCTGCAGGACATTTTCTGATGGTGGTCCATCGCTCTTCTCATTACCTCACTTCTGGTTATCTCAGTATATCAGAGTATCTTCCTGAATTTCTTTCGGATCTAAGACTCACTTTACCATGGAATTCTTGACGTGTTTACCAGACATTCCGAGCATTCGTTCGTAGATGATTGTTGTTCATTTAAGAAACATGACAATCCAAATATCAGTAATTGATCTAAATACAACATTAACGAACCAAAGTTTATTCGATTAGACCAAACTACGTTCTTGTGTATAGCCCACAAAGCTTCTATCACTGATTCGTATTAAACTACATAAGGATACTAAGTCATTACTCAATTTAATCGGATCCAATTCAAGTAAGAAAAAGGTGAATCAAAATCTCAAATGTATCTAACTTTACAGCCTGTGCTGTACATTCAAAGGTTTAAGGATCCCAATTATAAAATGGGTTTAAATCATTGATATGTAAGACTGAAAGTTGCCATGATCACACATCATTATGGTAATTATGTTTTAACATATACGTTATGTAAAAGAAAATTCCACAATACTGACATTATGAAAGTCCAGAGGGTCAGAATAAATTGTCGCGTAATTAATAATAATTGGGTATAAATAAAGTTTCGTTAGGAAATGATGGGTTGGATCTAATCAAATTCGGTTGAAATCTCCAACCAGTATTTCATTTCATAGATGGCAATACTTAATATTCTTTCCAGAGAACATCTAACATCTTTAAGAAACACCAAGCGAAATGACAAGGTAATGATCCTACGACCAGATAAATATTCGGATATCTTTCTAATGAACACAGGTGATCATATCAATATACATGGCTAGACAACCTTGTTGTCCAAGACACCTTTTATTTGAGGATCCTAAATTCAACTAAGCCCGAAATCAGAAATGCAGAGGTTTGAAGAAAATGGCAGATGAGTAGAAAAGTGCATGAGTTAAGTTCACTAGGTGTTATATGTGCGTGGCAGGGTGTACACAATAGTGATCTAGTGTGGATGCTTTACTAAGCTTCAGGTTTTAGGGATAACAAGTGAGGTAATTATAGGTATTGGAGACTTACAGAATTATTTGTTTTAGGAATTTAATTACCAGCACAAATTTCACGTAGGTATTGTGGAAGCTACTCCTAAATCAATGGGATAAACGCATTTCCGTTAGTATTATTGACTTTGGGATTGTCAGATAGAGTATCTTTTAGGGTAGCTATGGTTTCTGTGACATTTAATTTGAGCCATTTACGCTTGGATATAGATATTATTGATAAAACCACTAACCCAATAGGTAAAAGGGTAATAGTAGTACCGTGCTGATAGTAGAGGTATTGAGGTCGCTAACGACTCATACAGCTAGGCGAACAGCGATCCAGTTCACACAATCAGCATAATTTATAAAGTCATTCAGATGTGTCACATATATTCCAACTAGTCAGCTTATTTCAGATACTATTCTACTCATCTGAATATTTCTTCGAATCTCTTCATTTATGACCTCTCGTTTGATTGTGTTTGTGATAATCGATTATAGAAGTGTGTAGGATCAGTGAAATGTCAGATAATCTCACAGACAGTCAGTAACTGTCAAGCGACTTACCAAGTCTCTGAAACTCAAGGGCAACCAACGCTCATCAGCGAACTGAATGACGTGGGCAGGAACCTGAGGCAGAATTTCCGCCTTGTACTTCTGTCAACCGCTAAAACTGTTGCATAATGGGAGTATTTATTCTAGTTATGGACCTGATTATCACAATAACATAATATCAGTTGAACATCAATAGTGAGGAGTGATTTTGACGTATTCTAGGAGGCCAAGCCATTTCAATGAAACCCGACTTAACCTGCAATCATCTATGTAGATTACTTAAGAAGTTGACCTACTGGTGCCACGGGCTTTAGCGTTGTCAAGCCCTGAATGTACACAAATTTTATCAACAAATGAAACATTTCATAGATGACGTGTATCCCAGTTTTTGGGTTTATGGCCACCTCCGGAAACAAATTTAATGGAAAATCTCATATTCTGGGATTAAATAAAAAATAAAAAGATTAGTAGAGAGAGATAATCATCGAATTTTCGTTGGCTAATTTCTTATCTCATTCTTTGTAGCAACATAGATATAAACTTGCTAGCCATGGGCGAGAAGAGAATTCTCACAATAGGTTAGGAATTAACCAGATAGTGACATTACCCATAAGATTCTACAGTCTTATTGAAGATGTGAATGTACATGAAACTCACCAAGCCATTGGACATTGGGAGCCATTGGTTAATATCCTCTACTATAGTTGTTACATTTACTTTCAGGACTGAAAACTTAAGGATTACACAAGAAGTAATACAGGACATCCATATGCAACCTTTAATAACAAGATTACATGAATCACACATGTTCTAACAAATTTTGTGTTGAACGTTGGACAAAGTACTCAATATTTAAATTTGCTTTCAGGTGCTGCGCACGCTTCTCTTCATAGGATCTAATATGGATCCATCGTTTATAAATGAATTAACTAACTGTTTGCAACATACTGTTTCACCAGAAAGGGAAGCTAGAAGATCAGCGGAAGCATATCTTAAATCTGTTGAACTACGCCCATCATATTGCTTGTGTTTACTCCATATTCTTCAGGATCCCAATGTCCCTTTACCAACACGAATGGCTGCAGCTATCACCCTGAAAAACTTCATCAAAAATCATTGGCATGTTGTAAGTACTGAGTGTTTTTGTGAATTTTTATGGATTACCATTGACTCTAGATAGTCGTTTGTTTACGAAAGCCTGTAGGACAAGGTCCCATCACATCCAATATATCATTGCCTGTTTTACTCTTTCAATTACAGCGTCTTTTTGCCTAAATTTACATTACTTTAAAGTGTAGTAAACGTATTTTTAAATGGCTATTGTCAATGCTTCTCCTCATTACTCAGGTTCTTGTCAGCGAAAGCCAAACCTTATGAAGGCACAAAGATACCGTTTAAGAAACTTCATAAGAAGTAGGGGTCTTTTGGTCATTATTCCCAAGCATTTGTTTATCGATAGTATAACAGTTTCTCCTTATTTGATCTAGTTTGTGAAACCCGGGGATTAGTTTTAAAAAACTGGTTTCCCGAGCATAGAGTCAATGCTTCCCGAGTTTCAGCTAAAGTTTGTCAAAACGTCAGAGCTTGCACCTTTTTATATACTGTCACATCATCTGGGACTTTCGATCACTGAATGTTATCATTTAATTAAGAGCTTAGCTGGTCAGCCTTCCAACCAACGAATAAATGACATAGTACCAATGTCTTGGTTGATGGTCAGCTTATTCTGCTCAAAAATTATTTAACCTTCATTTATAATAATCTTCTTTATTGCAACAAAATAAACATATGTGGGAATAGTCTCAGTTTTGAAAGACGACTTCCATGTTCTATTATAAGGGTGTTTGAGTAGCTCATATTTACTTTCACGCCGTTTTGAATGAATCCTTTTTTTCAGGTTTACTAGGTAAAGTAGCTGTTAGTACGGTTACTTTTAGCCTGTATGTTTACATCGAAGTCCGGGAAAATCAGTCTAATGACCTGTTAATAATAACCAGAGAGAATGCTCTCTAGTCTGCATCACTCACACCATCCCTTGATCGACTCAATTGGATTTCCAGAGCTTCAGCATGCGTAATCATAGCTGGAGGTAATGAAGTAACTCGATCAAAGTAGCACTTAAGCTATTTTACAAACCGAAAAAGCTTCCGTCATAGAAAGAAATCCAGGTGTTGGTGAGACACGAAGTGGAAAGTCACAAAGAAATATTGTTTAGTATATCATTCAAGAACTATAAAATTCAAGTTGATACCTTGAAATATATCATAATTGGTTAGACAAGTACGGATCCATGTACTCAGCTTTAAGGTTCATTGTGTGTATAATCGCTGTTTAAATCGCAGCAAGTGGAAAGGGGTTTGGTCCAGCAACCAACCATAGCTTCGTGAATAAAGCTGTTGTCCGCATCGTTCTTAATTAATCAGAGTTTACTAAGTAGTCAATTTTCATTACAGATTACCTTTCACACGAAACTTCAATGTGCCGATGCTTTTGTAAAAGATTAACCACTTTAAATTTAAGTGCAAGAATTAAACTTTAACCCTGCATGCAAAAGACAGTTGCTGTCAAAACGTATTTAATGCTATGTTTTACACTGGCCTTTGCACGACATTTATCGATCAGGTTTGATATTGGAAAAGAAATTTTGTTTGCTCAGTTTTTTCAAAGAATAGAACACCTGGTTATGTTTTCTAGATGTCAAACTGTATAAAAACATGATAAACGACTGATAAAAAGCAAATCAAGTATCCGAGAATGTATTTATGTTTCACTCTGGCATTAGATTTATGTTCTGTCTTGTACAACTTTAGGTAACTGATAAATTGTGCAAAACAGCATAACTTTCAGACTTGCAGCTAAGTTGCCTGTGGTGGCTGGTTAGGTTTCATTAAAGTCAACCTTTATTGATACTTGCCTATTTTTATTCATTTACTATGGAAAAGTCTTTATTTCTCACTCTATTTAAATCAAATTATGTCTTTCATTAATCTGAAACTTATACAGCTGAGCCTTATATATCATTTATTGATCGGTTTTAGTCAGTCAGTCATTTGCAACGTAGAACTTCGCACGTATGTACATAAGTTCATGTTGCCATACCACATTAACACAGAGACGCAAATGTCAAATCAAATCCCATTGTGATAAAGATAGTAGAGGTATTAATGGTAATGATGAAGACTAGGGTTTGAAGATATTATTCAAGAAGTAGAATTCAGTGAGATAAGGTTAGAAAGACAAAGGTAGAGGTGCTGACGAATTCAGAAGATTAGGATTTGAGAGAGCACAACGAATGGATGCACTTGCGCCATTGCAAACGATTTTGAGTCAATTCGTTCAAGGTCTCTAACCATCGGTGACCATCGTCTCGCGGACCCCAACCAGTTAGTCTACATCTACCAACATGACTCAGTCCACTTGTCAGTGTCTTCATGGATTTCTGCCATGTTTTGGTCTGGCCGCCCCTAGCTTTCTTCCAACCTACTCCTACACCACAAAACATAGCTCGTCGCGGCAGTCGGTGGCTAGGCATACGTAATACATGTCCCAACCACCTCAACTGATGAAGTTTCACCGCTTCATCTATTGATCTGCCATCCCTACCTAGTACTCGTTTCCTAATGACAGCATTGATTACTCGGTTGTCCCACGATAGGCGAGAACGGCCATGTTTCGCATCCATATAGGAGAACGAAGCGAACTACCGCGCAGTACACTCGTCCTTTAGTCAGCAAACGGATATCACGCCTACGCCGTAAGTGACACAGATTGGCAAAAGCCAATTAAGCTTTCTTTATCCGCGCTGAGATTTCGTCAGTCACCAGGTTATCAGCGCTGATGAAACTCCCCAGATAAGTGAAGTGATCAACCGATTATTGATCATTTACCGTATCTTCACTGTCGTTTTCGGTGACAATGATTATCACAATGAATAAAACCGGTAAATTTTATGGTCATGTTACCCAAAATGTTAAATCTTCCGTTGTTCATATGCTATAAATGCCCTTATATGAGATATAGAGTTACCTTTTTACTCAAATGGAAATATTTCATTCTCTAGGACTCAGATGATACCGATCGTATACAAGCATCTGATCGTGACGGATTACGTAATCAACTTATAGGAGCTATGCTTTCTGTATCCGGGAATATACAATCACAACTTTCTGAAGCGATCAGTACAATTTGGCGAGAGGATTTCCCAGAGAAATGGCCTAATTTAATACCGGAATTAGTGCAAAGAATGGCACAACTTGGTGCAGATTTAAATATGGTCCATGGAGTTCTATATACAGCTCATACATTGTTCAAAAGGTGAGTGAGTATTTATGGGTTTTTTTATTGTCTGTTTCAAACAGTACCCCAATTCTGTCACTTGATTTGTTTGATAAACGAAGTGACCATGTGTACTGGTTCTGTTGTAAGCTTGTAGTGGCTCGAGTCAAGGTTGATTGTGAACATCACTACAAACCAATTACGTTCTGGCCTCTAATCATTATCCTGTCGTGAACCGAAGACCGGGAAGAAGTTATAATCCAGAAGAAGTCGTGTATTTGCTGGCGATCTCGTGGTACCTGAAAGAATACCGAGATCGTGCCAAAGAGTATGGGTGAAGATACAACGAGCAATTTAACCAAGATGAAGTGCTGAAACTTCATCAGTTGAGGTGGTTGGGACATGTGTTGCGTATGCCTAACCACCGACTCCCGCGACGAGCTTTGTTCTGTAGTGTAGGAATAGGTTGGAAGAAAGCTAGGTGCGGCCAGACCTAAACATGGCGGAAATCCATGAAGTCATTGACAAGTGGACTGAGTCATGTTGGTAGATGTAGACTACCTGGTTGTGAAGTCCGCGAAATGATAATAATCGATCGTTAGATGCCCTGAATGACATGGCTCAAAACCGTTTGCTATGGCGCCGGTGCATTTATTCTTTGTGTTCTCTCAAATCCTAATCTTCTGAATTCTTCAACCCCTCTAGTTTTGACTTTGTAAACTTTTCTCACTGAATCATATCTCTTGAATACCTTCTCATCCTAACCTCTCCGATTACTTCTAATACTTTTACTACCTCTTCTACTATTGGATTTGAATTGACAATTATATATCTGTGGTGATGTGGTATGGCACCATGAACTGATGTACATACGTACGAAGTTCTAAGTTGCATCTGCCTATCTGCCTGCCTTAACCAAGATGGCAACTTAGTAAGAGGAAAGTGGGTGTATGGAGGTGTGAATAAACAAAGAGTTCAGTAAAACAATCACTGGTACAATTGATTATAATAATGATTGTTTCTATTAAACCAATCGCGTTTTCTTCGTAAAAGTATAGTCACTATAAGCTTATGTCATAACGTCTAGTCTCATAAAAAAACTGTATTTTTATAACTACACTTAACTACATCACACTGCTTAGTTTTTATATACCTTTTCAATAATGGCCAAGGTTATTATTATTTTTCTGAAGTTATCAAACTCAGTCAGTTGCAACGTAGAACTTCGTACGTAAGTACATCAGTTCATGTCGCCATACCACATCAGCACAGAGATATAATTGTCAATTCAAATCCAATAGTAGAAGAGGTAGTAAGGGAATTAGAAGTAATCGGAGAGGTTAGGATTAGAAGATATTATTCACGAAGTATGATTCAATGAGAAAAGTTTAGAAAGTAAAAACTAGAGGTGTTGAAGAACCCAGAAGATTAGGATTTGAGAGAACACAAAGAATAAATGCACCGGCGCCATTGCGAACGATTTTGAGCCATGTCATTCAAGGTCTCTAGCCATCGATTATTATCATCTCGCGGACCCCAACCAGGTAGTCGACAATTACCGACATGGCTCAGTCCACTCGTCAATGACTTCATGGATTTCTGCCATGTTTTGGTTTGGCCGCCCCTAACTTTCTTCCAACCTATTCCTACACTACAAAACAAAGCTCGACGAGGCAGTCGGTGGCTAGGCATACGCAACACATGTCCCAACCACCTCAACTGATGTAGTTTCAATACTTCATCTATTGATTTGCCATTCTTACCTAGTACCCGTTTCCTAATAACAGCGTTGCTCACTCGGGTGTTATCAAACTATCTTGCAGTAACTGGAATTTCCGCATTCTATCCACCGTGATAGTACTGGACCACCAAATCACAATTTTTTCATTTCTGGTTTTCCTCTACTAAGCGATCATAATGAGAGATATTTAATCTTGAAAGGCGAGTTTTCATAAACACCTATATCCTGCGTGGTTCAGGAGTCGTGGGTGCGCACTGTCACTGATGAGTCCCCATACCAGGACGAAACGGCCGTCCAGTGCTTCCAGGTTTCTAATGGTTGTAGTCTAACAATGATTGATTGATGATTTCAATCTGTGAAAACAATTATCTCCATAACTCTAATTGAAAAAAACACCTAAATATCGAGTTATTTGTCCGAAATGACGTATAAATATCACGTATTACTTTTTTTCAAATTGTCTAAACTGTCTTCTTTATTGTTGACAACAGAATTATAATCTTATCTTTCCCTTTTTATTCAACCTTATCAGATATCGTCACGAATGCGCCGGTCCAGATTTGTACAGAGAAATGAAACATGTGATCGGTCAATTCGGTGCACCACTTACGGAACTTGCTAAGGTATAATGTTTATTATCAACATCGTTAATATTGAATGTTTTAAATATGTTTTGATGCCAATTTTTTCCCCTCGTATTACATACAGCCAGAAGTGGGAAGAGTGTGCTCTCCCACTCGAATAGCTGCTCTCATATGGCCACACGTGCATATAGTCACGGATAGGAAAGTTTTACCCACTTGCTTTCTCGTACCAGAAGTATTGTATACAAAATTGAAGGAACGAAAAGCAAATATTCGACGGAGGGTTAAACCGGGTTAGTAGGTATGGAGGATTCACTTAGGGACGTTGAAAACCTCTTGATCCCAGATCAATGGTGCAAATGGGCTTTACAATTCTGAAGGAATAAGTGGTGTATGAACCTATCGTTCGTCACTGGCTACCATGAAACAACATATCCTAACCTATAGGTCAAAAGCTTGGGGTAGCTGTCTAAGATAACCATGTGCTTCGATTTGGGCACCTGAACAGTGATCCAATCCATACACGTTTTTAATGATTTGTCTGATGTGTATATAATTTGGTGCTTCTTTGCATTAATGTTTGTTGAAATAATATAATGGTACGTAAGTACTATGATAAACTGTACGAGTACTTTAGTAAACTGAACCATCCATTAAAAACTAATAAACTGGGATTACGCCGAGTTCGCAAATTCTACCTAAGATCTCAGTCTATCGACCCTCTAAAACTGGACTACCATCCTTAAAAATCTCAGGAGTAAGTCTGTCAGGCCCTGAAGCTCGCCCTCGCTTCAGATTTCCTGTCGCATTCTCAACTTCATAAAGAGTCGGACAACTGACGTCGATTTGCCATTCAGGGTGACTGAAGATCGTGGGCAACTGAAGTGTGGCTGAAGGCCAGTTGAACTTATCCCTAAAGTGTTCTGCCCATCGATGTAGTCTCCTGGATTGAGAATGAATAATAAGACCATCCTTTTCTGAAATAGTCTCACTTACATTCTGGTTCCTCATAACGGTTTCCGTGATAAGTCTGAACAGTTGTCTAGTGTTGCCTATAGCCGCTGCCTTTTCCATCTCTCTCACTTTCGCTACCCACCACTATTTGTGATCGTTGCGTAGGCTTTTTATCAGCCTGCGCCTAAGCTAACTTCGCTCTTCATCATATTCACAGCCAGGCGGTCAAGTAAGTTAATCGAAAGGGCTTCTTAACCAGATTAAGCATAACACAAGCTCAAATGTATATGAGCTGCTATAACCTAGTATCATTATTAACTGTCACATTTATAGTGTAGCGCATACCTTGCACCATAATAATTAGAATTATCTTGTCCGTAGTTAAATCGGTCTTAGTTGGCACATAGGCATCCTCTTTATTGCACAGCATTTCGCTCCATCCTACTATATGGATGTGAAACATGGCCAATAAGAGAAGAGAACATTCGTAGGTCATCAGTATTCGATTATAGATGTCTTCGAAGCATTGCTCGTACATCCTGGGACAACCGAGTAAGCAATGCATTGATTAAGAAACAAGTACTAGGTAGGGATAGCGAATCAATAGATGAAGTATTGAATCTTTATCACTTGATGTGGTTGGGACATGTCCTACGTATGCCTACCCACCGACTGCCTCGACGAGAAATGTTTTGCGGTGTAAGGAGTAGGTTGGAAGGAATCTAGAGGCGGTCAGACCAAAACATGGTATAAATCCATGAAGTCACTGACAAGTGAACTAAGTCATGTCGGTAGATGCAGGCCACCTAGTTGGGGTCCACGAGACAATAGTAACCGATAGTTAAAGACTTTGAATAACATGGCTCAAAATTGTTTGAAATGCCATAGATGTATTCATTCTTTGTCTTCTCTCAAATTCTACGTTTTCGACTTTCTCACGACCTTTATCTTTCTGTTTTTATATTTATTTCACTGGATTATACTCCTTAAATAATTTCTTAGTTCCCCAATCTTTTTCATTACTACAAATATTGCTACAACCTGTACTACTGTATGATTGGAACTGATAATCCCATTTCTCTGTGTGCTGATGTGTTATGATAACTTGAACTGATGTACGTACGTATATACATAGTCTTTGACTAACTGATACATTGTTACCTTAAACTCTGAACATTGTATTGTAGTGTCATTTAGATCTTGGCTTATGGCAACCTGAACTGATTGTACGAACGTACGAAGTTCCACATTTATAACTAACTGACTGACTGGCTATCTAATTAATGTACAATATGCCATATACACAACATCTAGTGTGTTGTTTGAAAAGGAAAAAAAAATAATTTTTCCGAAATTCAATTTATTCAATTTATGTGTATTTTTGGTTGGAGAAAACTGATGGGCGACCTATGCTCCATTGGGGGTAACAGGCGTAAGTAAGTAAGTAAGTAAGTAAGTAAGTGAGTAATTAAGTAAGTGCATAGGTAAGTAAGTAAGTAAGTGTATAAGTAAGTAAGTGCATAGGTAAGTAAGTAAGCGGCGAAGTTAGCAAGTAAGTGCATAAGTAAGTAAGTAGGTAAGTAAGTGAGTGAGTAAGTAAGTGCATTTTTGACAATCCATTTCATTTCATTTCTCTTTTATTTTTCCTCTCCTTATTATCATTTTGTCATATGACAAACTACAGAATCTTCTTGCTTTAATTATTGGAACAAATCAAATCACAGATGAATCACGTTTAATTACAGTACTACAATGTTTATTACTTGTTTGTAAAATATTTCTCAGTCTTAATTGTCAAGTAAGTAACAAGTTTTTCTGTTTGTTTGTTTGAATTAATTTCATGATGTATTCAATTTGTGTATACTGAGCGATCTGCGCACGGAAAGAGTCCCTCTCGGGGTTACTGCTGGTCCTAAGCTCCGGATGAAGACAGAGGGTTGGTTGGGCTTCGGGTTAGCGACATGATCCCGTCGAAAAGTAACTCACCAAAAAACGTTAGCCAGAAAAAAAATGATTAAAACCATTTAAACTCTGCCCTGAGAGTTTGAAGGTCTTCATTTAGGAGAGCTTTGATGTCTCATGATGAAAGCCGAGTTTTTTCGTAAGTCATGAGACTGCTGCTTTCTTGTAGAAACCAAAGTAACCAATAATTTAGGTACATATATTGTTCAGACAATGTGGGAGACCGGAATAGTCACTCAAGCTGTTGTATAAATGGAAAGATACAACCTGTTGGTACTTGGAATCAACTAAACACATTGGACGCGGGTTGGACAACAAAGACTGGTTTCAAGATAAACCTATGTCACATGCACAAGGAGTTGCACTGATGCAACCCGAAGAAACACAAAATTCAATGGTAGGATGAAAATCTCATTCACCCAGGGTTAGATGATCAAAGCCTCCTTCAAAACAAGCAAAGAGGAGATCACAAGCTAGGCCTCAGCAATAGGTTCCAGATCTTTCAAGATCTATTCAATGGATAAGGAACTACCATAGAGAACAATTGGACAGTAATCAAAGTTGCTATTGTGGTATGGCAACCTGAACTTATGTTACATACGTACGAAGTTGTACATTGCAACTGACTGACTGATCTGATATTTGATTGTTGTTTTATCTAAATATTCTCTCTCTCTCTCTGTCATAATATCTGTTTATTTTTCCGGTTATAGGATTTACCAGAATTTTTTGAAGACAACATACAAGATTGGATGACATTTTTTCGTAGTCTCTTACAATTAAATGCATCCACTTTAAATTTAACTAATAATACTACTAATACTGGCACAACGGATCAATCGAATGGTACAGTTTTAGTAGAACAAATTAAATCACAAATATGCGATAATGCTAGTTTGTATGCATCAAAATATGAACCGGAATTTGCTACATATCTCCCAGGTTTTGTGACAGATGTTTGGGAAATGTTATTAGGTACTAGTGCTCAAACAAAATATGATTTAGTAAGTATTAACAATTTTATATATACTGTGGTGTTATATGAATGATTAAAATGTTTGTTGTTAAGTTAGGAAAATATTACAAGGATTCATTAAAGTTAGATGTCAACACACCGTTGGAAGCTGGTTCGACCGGTCTATAGGTTAAGTGTTCGCTTGTGAAACTGAGGCTCACTTATCGACTTTGAATATGCCGATGACATAGTCCTACTTGGTGAAGAGACGCTGACAAAATGCAGAGTCTTCTGATTACCGTAAGCAACAATGCAAGCATCTTCGGGATGCGGTTCTCATCCTCAAAATGCAAAATGTTACTTCAAGATTGAGTTGCATTGACACCTGAACTGGTGATAGGAAGTGAACTAGTCGAACGTGTAGACCGCTTCACTTATCTTGGGAGTCTCATCAGTGCCGATGGCCTGGTGACTGACGAAATCTCAGCTCGGATACAGAAGGCTCGATTGGCTTTTGCCAACCTGCGTCACTTATGGCGTAGGCGAGATATCCATTTGCTGATTAAAGAACAAGTGTACTGTGCAGTGGTTCGCTCCGTCTTACTTTATGGCTGTGCAAAATGGACTGAGAGTAGAAGATATTCGTCGGTTATTGGTTTTCGATCATAGGTGTCTTCTCAGAAGCATTGCTCATATATCCTAGTGTAGTGAACGAGAACACAGGTGGGGCAACCGAATTGTATTTAACGAAAATTACAGAGTTACTCAGTAAAATAGGAAAACCATATCGTAAATCGTTCATTTGCAAAATATCAGTTCATCATATCGAACTGGACTGTTCCTGTTGCAGAACATTAATCCATTGTCACTATTCATGCGTTTCATACAAATTCCATTGTGTTATAACTCTTCCTTTCTTGATCTTCCACCATCTTCTGCTGCCAGACATTACGTTGACGCTCACGTCATATACTACTTATAAGTAGCTCACACCACACTAGGACACCCGAGTGAGCAACGTTGTTATTAGGAAACGGGTGCTAGGTAAGAATGGCAGATCAATCGATGAAGTAGTGAAACCTCATCAGTTGAGGTGGTTTGGACATGTGTTGCGTATGCCTAACCACCGACTGCCTCGACGAGCTTTGTTTTGTAGTGTAGCAATAGGTTAAAAGAAAGCTAGGTGCGGCGAAACCAAAATTTGGTACAAATCCTTGAAGTCATTGACGAGTGGACTTATCTATGTTGGTAGTTGTCGACTACCTGGTTGGGGTCCGCGAGATGATAATAATCGATCGTTAGATACCTTGAATGACATGGCTCAGAATCGTTTGCAATGGCGCAGGTGCATCCACTTTTTGTGTTCTCTCAAATCCTAATCTTCTGGATTCTTCAACACCTCTAGTTTTGACTTTCTAAACTTTTCTCACTGAATCATACTTCTTGAATAATATCTTCTAATCCTAACCTCTCCGATTACTTCTAATACCTTTACTACCTCTACTACTATTGGATTTGAATTGACAATTACATCCCTCTGTGCTGATGTGGTATGGCGACATGAACTGATGTACTTACGTACAAAGTTCTACGTTGCATCTGTCTGTCTGTCTGTCTGTATACTAAGAATGACTTTACATTTTTATATCAAAGATGAATTCTATTTCAAAATTGAACGTTGATCAAAATTCAAAAATGTTTATACTTTCTCTTGCATTCATTTAGCTTATTGGAAATGCTATCGGGTTTTTAAGTTGTGTTATATCACGTCCACAGCATAGATATTTATTTGAAAATCCAGAAACATTACAAAAACTTTGTGAAAAAGTTATTCTTCCTAATATGCATTTTAGAGGTAAGTGTAATTTGTTATTTTTGGTTTCTATGTGAGATGACAAATTTGAAAATCTCCATTATTTGCATTGGGGATCTGACTTTGTTCGCCTACCTTTAGATTTTATAGCCGCCTAATGCTTTGATACAGTCTAGAGGGAAGAAGTTATGCTCTATCTCTCTCTAAATGTCTTCATATACAGCCACTACAAGGGGAATTCTAACTCGGTGTCTTTTCGTGGCTACTGTGTTGTTTACGAAATCGATCTGGTGGGAACACATGGTGCATGAACCCATCGATGGTCACTGACTTCCACGTTGCTCTACTGCATTGTGAATTAGACGTGTAGGTCAAAAGCTCGTAAGGTGGGCTCCCTGAGAAAACCACTACATTCAGTCTTGGAACCCGGAAAGTATCCTAGTTCATTCAATGATTTATATGGCGCATATGTTTTTCGGTGCCCCTTTATACCAGTTTGCATTCGAATAAACAACTAGTGTGGAGCGGTGGCTCAGTGGTAAAGAGATTGAATTTCTAGCCTCTGCGTCACAGATCTGAACTCCGTTACACCTACTTTGGTTTGACCCACCCAGAGTTGAATGGGTGAGTGAGTACTGCTGAGGTTAGTAAAAGGGTACTGGGTAGAGTTGACAGATCAACTGATTAAGTAGTTGATCAGTTGATTTGGTTAGGATATGTCTTACATATTTTCAACTGCCGATTCAGTCAGTTACTACAAAGTAGAACTTCTTACGTACATCACTTCAAATTGTCATACAATATTACCACATACAGGGAGATACAGTTGTCAATTCAAAGCCCATAGTAGTAGAGGTAGTAGAAGTGTAAGCAGTAATTGGTGAGATGAGGATTCGAAGATATTATTCAAGAAGTGAAGTAAACCTAAAAACAAGCGAAAGATGAGGGTGATGAAGAATCCAGAGGATCGGGATTTGAGAGAAGCCAAAGAATGAGTGCACATGCGTCATGTAAACGATTTCGAACCATGTCATTCAAGGTCTCTAACCGTCGGTTACTATCATCTCGCGGACCCCAACCAAGGTAGTCTACAATACCGACTACCATGACAAGCGATGTTGTCTGATGTAGGTGTAGGCTGGGGGGATAGCTAGGGGCGGCCAAACCAAAATGTGACACAAATTCATCAAGTCACTAACCAGTGGACTGAGCTATGTCAGTACGTGTAGACTACCAAGTTGGGGTTGGCGTGACATTCGTAACCAATGTTTAGAGACTTTGAATGACTTGCGATGGCGCAAGTGCATCTATTCTTTATCTCATTTCAAATTCTGATCTAAATTCTTTATGACCTCTTTTTAAATTTATCTCACTGAATTTTACTTCTTAAATCATATCTTCGATCTCAAATCTTTTTGATTAATACTGATACTTCTACAACCTCTAATACTATAGAATTTGAATGAAGTCACTGACAAGTGGACTGAGTCATGTCTGTAGTTGTCGACTACCTGGTTGGGATCAGCAAGACGCAAGTCACCAATGGTTAGAGAGAGACCTTGGACGACATGGTTCAAAATCGTTTGCAATGGCGCAGGTGCATTCATTGATTGTGTTCTCTCAAGTTCTAACCTTTTGAATTCCTCACCACTCTTATCTTTTTCTTTTCAAGTTTGTTTCACTCGATTCTACTTGTTGAATAATATCTACGAACTTTAATCTCGCCGATTACTGCAAATACTTTCGCTACCACTACTACTATGCGATTTGAATTGACAGTTACATCCCCTGTGCTAATGTGGTATGGCAGCTTGAACACTGATGTACTTACGTACGAAATTCTACCTTGCTGTTGATTGATTGATAGAATTTGAATTGACCGTTCCATCTCTATCGGTGGTTATGTTTTCTTTGACAATTTAGACTGATGTACATACTTACTTACTTACCAAGTCCTACGTTGTACTTAACTGACTGATAATAATCTTCAAAGTAGATTTCTAAGAATGACCATGACCTCTAACCTGCCTTCTCGGAATATATAGCCATTAGATTTGTATTACTTAACAATTATTGTAACACGTGTAATCAGCAGTCACTGAAAGGCGGATAGAATCTAAAATCACAACACACAAGGTTAGTTTAACATCTCACACCAAGAGAGAACACGAAGTGGTTGCCACGGTACTCGTTTATGTTTTGAAATTGAAATACGCGGAATCTTACAGAAAAGGGGTCGTTATGGTACCAAAGTCTTAACAGTCATCCTATATGTTCAAACCACTCAGGGCTTGTTCTTCAGTTTCCAAAGTGTTAACATTTGATCGCCCTAAAATAGAAAGAAAACAGGACTGGTTAGCAACATCATACATACATGGTGACTTTAACTCTGTTACATATTACTCTGCATAGTAGGTAGTCCGATTGTTTGATTGTTTAAATTCGATACTTTATTCAACTCATCCATCAACTAGAAAGTGTTATCTGTTTGTTTGTTCTTTAATTTACAGCCTTGGATGAAGAATTATTCACGGATAATCCTGATGAATATATACGTTTAGATTTAGAAGGTTCCAATGCACAGACACGACGTCGTGCCGCATGTAATTTAGTTCATGTGTTATGTGAAGCATTTGAAGGTGCTGTGGTGACAAATTTTGCTACTTATATTGAACATTTATTGAATGAATATACCAATACACCGAATGGTGGAGCATGGACATCAAAAGATGCTGCTCTTCTATTGGTTACTTCAGTTGCTAGTCGTGGTAAAACAGAAAAGGTAATTGCTAATGATAATCATTGTTACTCGTTGTTGTTGACTTGTGCCTGTTACCCCCTAGCATTCCTTAACTTCCTCCATCCTGGGCGTTCTTTTTTTAGTTCTGTCCTATTGTTGTTCATTCTTCTCATGTCTATCCTCATTCCTCGGTGAAATGTGTTCCTTGGCATCCATCTTTCCCTTTGGCCCTGAGGATTTCAGGTGAGGGCTTGTCCTGTGGTTCCAGTGGGCGATTTCCGCAGCGTGTGTTATATCCATTAGTCTTCGATCATCGGTGTCTCCGAAGCATTGCTCATGTATCCTGGAAAGACCGTATAAGCAATGCTGTCGTTAGGAAACGAGTTCTAGGTAGGGGTGGCAAATCAATAGATGAAGTAGTGAAACTGCGTCAGTTGAAGTGGTTGGGACATGTGTTACGTATGCCTAACCACCGACTGACTCGACGAGCTATGTTTTGTGGTGTAGGAGTAGATTGGAAGAAAGTTAGGGGCGGCCAAACCAAAACAAGGCAGAAATCCATGAAGTCGATAACAAGTGGACTGAGTCATGTTGGTAGATGTAGGCTACGTGGTTGGGGTCCGCGAGACGAAGTCACCAATGATTAGAGACCTTGAACGACATGGCTCAGAATCGTTTGCGATGGCGCAGGTGCATCCACTGTTTGTATTCTCTCGAATTCTAACCTGAATTCCTCATAATCTCTACCTTTCTCCCTCTAAATTTATCTTACTGAATTATACTTCTCGAATCATATCTTCGTTCCCTAATCTTCTCCATTACTGCTAATAATTCTACTATCGCTGTCACTCTTGGATTTGAACTGACAGTGGTGTCTCTTTGCTGATGGGGCATGGCAACCTGAACTGATATACTTACGTACGAAGTTCTGCGTTGTATCTGTCTGTCCAGCGCTTCTTCGTCCACTGGAATCTTCTGGTTCGTTCTCTTCCACAGTAGGCTGTTGCTGCTGGTGTCTAGCCAACGAATCCGAAGTATTTTGCGTAGATAACTGTTAATAAATACTTGTATCTTCTGGATGATAGCTTTCGTAGTTCTCCAAGTTTCCGCTGCATACAGCAAATTTTTTGACATCTGTATTGAAAATTTAGGTCTCCTATGACACAATAGTCAAATCGTTTGCTGGGTATTTCTCTATGATTGATTGTAGCCTCTCATAAAATTGATCTTCAACTTCCTCATTTTTTTATCGTTGGAAGGTGCATAGTATTAAATGATATTCATCGTAATCCACCCTTTCTTTATCTTGAAGGATTCGTTGATGTTCCTGGGTCCATGAGATTCCAACCTTACCGGTGATTTTGTGCTTCTTTAGACAGTATTTGTGCACCTCCTTGTGTATATGAGGCATTTTCTTCTTCATAGTCAGAGTATAACAGCAGCTCTCTTGAAACAACCAGTCTTTGTTGTCCAACTGGCATCCAATGTGTTTAACTGATTCCAAGTATACCACCAGGTTGTATCTTTCCATTTTTACAGTAACTTGGATGAATCTCCTGGTTGAAAGTTGAAAAATAATTCTATAAGCCTTGAGTATTTTCTCATTGAGCTGACTGACCGATTAAACTTGAGATTCATACATATTTTTAGATATCAAATTGGTTGGTTTGTGAGAAAGTCATGAATATGTTGATATTGAAATTCAGTAAAAAACCATTTCATCGAATTTATAAACCGATCAATGTTAGACAACCACCATTTGAAAAACACATAATTACTGGACGGCTGTTTCATCCCAATATAGGGAGGGGACTCTTCAGTAACAGTGCGAATCCACAACCCTTGTTAATATCTAGTTTACATTATTCAACGGTTATTGCTCGACTTTATTCATTGTCTTCGGTTGGTAGCTGTTACGCATAAACGTCAACATGTCATTCGATATGCTTGAATTATTACGAGTTCAGCTTAGTCGGAAAACGAAATCGAGGATCAGGCGACACGACATGCTTCTCTAATCCGAGAGTCCTAACGTCCATTGAATAAAAGAAGAAGACTTGATATGAAGTAGAACATGTACTCTACAAGCATCCAGAAAGTACGAGGTCCGAGTTCAAAGGAGAATCAGGATCCCGGACTGGGGATCCGGGTCATAAAACGTTACAGATAATGTGTATTTATACAGTTAGGTCGATTAGCAAAACAACATTGAAGTGTCTGTGACATTGACAGTTAGGACGACCACTAGGAACTGACCAGTTGAATTAGACTGACAAGTAATTCTCTTAGGACATTGGATGAATATCCTAACATTAACCTGTCTCACATCCGACACAGTTAAACTCCACTGATCACAACTTCTGCACCGAAACTTTGAGAATTCCCTAAAGAAGTTTTAGTCACTACTGAGTACATGTTGACGAAACTTGACAATCTTCACAACCCTCTTTTGATAAATAAATATTTACTGGATATGTTATTATTATTATTATTATTATTATTATTATTATTATTACTGTCACTATTATTCTTTCTCCTTTTCTACTGTTTTAGCATGGTGTTACAGTCTCCACTGAATTAGTAAATTTAACAACATTTTTTGAAAATCATGTTTTGCCTGAATTACAAAATCCTGATGGTTAGTTTATTGATTATTTTGAGTTAAACTATACCAAGATTCTATAAGACTCCCTCCATTGACTTTATTACGTAACCATGTTTTATGATGTATGTCAGTTGTTGCGTTGTTGAATAATAACAGCACTGAACTGACGCTGCACCCTCCGCCCACTATCACCTAGTAGTGTAGTGCGCATATCCATAAGCGTTTACAACTGATATTAGGTTCAAAATCGTTTGTAATGGCGCAGATGCATCCATTCTTTGTCTTCTCTCAAAATCTAATGGCGCAATGGTGCAGGTGCATCCACTCTTTGTGTTCTCTCAAATTTTAACCTAAATTTCTCATCACCTTTATCTTACACTTTTTAAAATTTATCTCACTGAATTATACTTCTCGAATCATATCTTCCAACCCTAATCTTCTCCATTGCTGCTCATACTTCTACTATCTCTACCACTATTGGATTTGAACTGACAGCTGCGTCTCTGTGCTAACATGGTATGAAAACCTGAACTGATTGATGTACTTACGAAGTTCTGCGTTGTATCTGTCTGCCTTGGAGCATCCTCTGAACATGTCCTCCAGTGTTGATTGGTCTATCCCAAGCCAATCAACACAAGTCCTATTTGAATCCAGTTATTGTCAAACAAACAGTTGATAATCTGACCTCTTCACACTATCATTCGTTTACTTGCCACCGCCCCACCCCCCCCCACGTTTCACCCCTAATCAACATATATTTATGTTACGCCTGCACGTAAACAGGTCAACTTGATACACTTGAACTATTATTACGAGTTTACCTAGTCGGAAAACGAGAGCGAGGATCCGGTGACACGACATACTACTCAAATCCGACTATCCCAACCCCCCATATTTAGTAAAAATAAGAAGACGTGATATGACGTAGAACCTGTATTCTATAAGCATCCAGAAATTACGAGGTCCGAATCCAGAAGAGAAGCAGGATCCCGGACTAGGGATCTGGGATCGGGTCCTGGTCCTGTTTCTGGTCATAAAATGTTACAGATAATGCGTATTTATACATTTTGGTCGAATAGGAAACAACATCGAATTCTGTGACATTGACAGTTTAGGACAACCAATAGGAAGTAACATTTGAAATGACATTGACAGTCCGGATGACCAATAAGAGACAACATTGACAGTTAAAACGACCGTAATTTTTAACCAATAGGATTTGACCAATAATAATTCTCTTAGGATATTGGATGAATCATCCTAACAATTTATCACGAATAACAATGTCGTAATATCGTTTATAATTCTCTTTTTCTTCATTGTGTATTCTTCTAGTGAATTATTTACCAGTGATTAAAGCAGATTGTTTACGTTATGCTATAGCATTTCGTTCATTGCTGCCACCGATAGCTTTAGTGAATTTATTAAATATGACACCGGCATTATTGACTACTTCAGTATCAGTTGTACAAAGTTATGTAGCTTCATTAATTGATAAGCTATTAGCTATGCGACGACAAGATTCACCAACAGATGCTTTGTAAGTTGACTCCTCTTGATTTGTTTTATTCTCATCCATGTTATTTGATCTTTGATCTGTTTAAATTATTTTTTTTTTGCGGAGTGAGATCACTAACCCCCGTTGCATAACCATGTAAGAAATGGTTAGTAATAGTAGAAGATATTCATAGGTTACTACTTGCTTTCAATCATACGTGTCTCGTGACTGTCGAGTAAACAATGCTGTTGTAAGGAAACGAGTACTAGATAGTGGTGGTAGATTAATCGATGAAGTAGTGAAACTTCATCAGTTGTGAGGTGATTGGGATATGTGTTGCGTGTATGCCTAACCATTGACTGGCTCGTCGAGCTATGTTTTGCGATGTAGGATTAGGTTGGACAAAGGCTAGGGCTGGCCAAACCAAAACATGGCAGAAATCCATGAAGTCACTGACAGTCAGTCAGTCAGATGCAACGTAGAACTTCGTACGTAAGTACATCAGTTCATGTCGCCATACCACATCAGCACAGGGGTGTAACTGTCAATTCAAATCCAATAGTAGTAGTAGACGTAGTAAAGGTATTAAAAGTAATCCGAGAGGTTAGGATTAGAAGATATTATTATTCAAGAAGTATGATTCAGTGAGAAAAGTTTAGAAAGTCAAAACTAGAGGGGTTGAAGAATCCAGAAGATTAGGATTTGAGAGAACACAAAGAATAAATGCACCGGCGCCATTGCGAACGATTTTGAGCCATGTCATTCAGGGTCTCTAACCATCGATTATTATCATCTCGCGGACCCAAACCAGGTAGTCAACAATTACCTACATGGCCAAGTCCACTCGTCAATGACTTCATAGATTTCTGATATGTTTTGGTTTGGCCGCCCCTAACTTTCTTCCAACCCATTCCTACACTACAAAGCAAAGCTCTTCGAGGCAGTTGGTGGTTAGGCATATCCAACACATGTCCCAACCACCTCAACTGATGAAGTTTCATTACTTCATCTATTGATCTGCCATTCTTACCTAGAACCCGATTCCTAATAACAGCGTCGCTCATTCGGGTGTCCCAGGATATACGAGCAATGCTTCGAAGACACCTATGATCGAAAACCAGTAACCTACGAATATCTTCTACTCTCACTGGCCATGTTTCACAGCCGTAAAGTAAGACGGAGCGAACTACTGCGCAGTACTCTTGTCCTTTAGTCAGAAAACGGATATCTCGCCTTTGCCATAAATGACGCAGGTTGGCAAAAGCTAATCGACTACTTCACTCCCTATCACTAGTTCAGGTGCCAATGCAACCCAATTTTGAAGCAACAGTTTGCATTTCGACGGGGAAAACCGCATACCGAACAAGTCACTGACAAGTGGACTGAGTCATGTCGGTAGGTGTCAACTACCTGGTCGGGGTCCGCGAGACGATAATAATCGATGGTTAGATACCCTGAATGACATGGCTCAAAACCGTTTTGCGATTGCCCAGGTGCACTTCACTCTTTGTGTTCTCTCAAATCCTAACATTCAAAGTTTCTCATAACCTTTTTTTTTCTGTTTCAACTGATTCCTCCAAGGGTATTTATACATCTCAATTGTTATATATTCGATCATTAATCTTCTCCGTTATTTCAGGCGAATCATTCATACAAACAGATATGATAATGTAAAGTATACAAGCACATCAAAGCGAACAAGCCAACTTCATACAATGATAGTCAGACATGCGATAAGCTAAGTAAGCGGCACTAACGCACTCGAATCAAAACATCCAAGATAAAAGCGCATAATAATAGACAAGGTCACGAAAGACATGTAAAAATAACAACTCGACTAGAATGAATTAGTTAATTTTTCTCCGAAAGCTTGAGACAAGTCCTGCTGGACTCGACCATTAACAGTCAGTCAGTTGCAACGTAGAACTTTGTACATATGTACATGAGTTCATGTTGCCATACCATATTAGCACAGGGACGCAAATGTCAAATAAAAATCCCATAGTGTGATAAAGATAGTAGAGGTATTATTGGTAATGAAGAAGACTAGTGTTTGAAGATATTATTCAAGAAGTATAATTCAGTGAGATAAGGTTAGAAAGACAAAGGTAGAGGTGCTGACGAATCCAAAAGATTAGGATTTGAGAGAGCACAACGAATGGATGCACTTGTGCCATTGCAAACGATTTTGAGCCATGTCATTCAAGGTCTCTAACCATCGATTATTATCATTTCGCGGACTTCACAACAAGGTAGTCGACGACACCTACCAACATGACTCAGTCCACTTGTCAGTGACTTTGGTCTGGCCGCCCCTAGCTTTCTTCCAACCTACTCATACACCACAAAACAAAGCTCTTCGCGGCAGTCGGTGGTTAGGCATACGTAACACATGTCCCAACTACCTCAACAGATGAAGTTTCATTACTTCATCTATTGATCTGCCATCCTTACCTAGTACTCGTTTCCTAACGACAGCATTGCTTACTCGGTTGTCCTACGATATACGAGCAATGCTTCTTAAGCATCTATGAACATCTACTCTGACTGGCCTTGTTTCACATCCATATAGGTGAACGGAGCGAACTGCTGCGCAGTACACCCGTCCTTTGGTTAGCGAACGTATATCCGACCATTTAAAGTACACGCACACAAACACACTACTGAATAATTTATTCAGTAGTAGTGTTCTATTCAGCTTTGAAATGGATAATTTTCATATTTTTTTATTGATTTTTTTTATAGAATACCAAAAGAACAAGTCTCAGATCCTCAATTATTAATTGATAGATTATTGAACATATTAAATAATCCTGAATATGGTGAAAGTGTTTATGTGATGCGAGGTAAATGATTATGTTGTGATTATTTGAAATGAATTTTAATGAATAGATTGTTTTGTTATTTTCAACCAATCATTGTTGTAATGCATGGTTTTCTCCCTCCCTCCCCTTTTTACATACTAATCAGTGTCCAAATGTCATGCATGGTACAATCGAGAGTGAGGAGAGTTTGTCTGCCTCTTAAAATGTCATGTCACACATGGCCATATTTGTGTGTGTGTGTGTGTGTTTAGCTACTGTCAGGGAAGTTCTCTCCACTGCCATTGTCGTGATGTTGGTAGTGTTGTTCACAAGATTTCGGAGGAATAAAAGCGAATATCCAGCCATACCGGTTTGGTGGGTACAGAATGTTTCATGTAGAGAGGAACTAGAAAACCCTCATTCCAAACCATTTGTTCATGGGAGCTCCTCAATCCTGAGGGCAGAAAACGATGTTTGAACCTATTGTTGGTCACCGACTACCATGGAATTGCATCCCCTCACGTTGCTCAGATAGGGGTCACCTGCTTCGGTTTAAGATACTTGAGTAGTAGTATCCCAACCTATACACACATTCAATTGAAGGACCAAGTGATCACTTCAAACTGTCATTATAGTATCCCAACCTATACACACATTCAATAATCTATATGATGTCCAACAATTTTAAGCTGCCCAATCGTGAATAAAAAGTGTTACTTTCTGCTCACCGATCCTATTTGCCAGTGTCAGAGATAGAGAAAAACTTGTTTCAGTGTATGGACTACCTGCGATATGAATGTGATATCCGTCTGCTTATCAAACAACAAGTATTCCACCTAGAATTTTCCTATGAACTAATTTATAACTATCAATTATGGACTTCAAAGTGAGAGATAGTGTAAATTGTTAGTGTTTGATTGAAGATGTTGTAGAAATATTGATATATTAGACGACTAAGTGATCAGTTTGGACTGTCATTGTAGAAACTGAAAGTCGATCACTACATTTGCGAACTGTCAGTGACTACTGAGGTAACTGAGATACGTATCTAGTCATGGTCTGCCATAATCTCCAATGGTGTATAGTATACAGTAGATATATAAAACTGGCCAAGTGAAGATAGTATTGCAGTGTGTACTACTTACGTTAGAACTTATAAGTAGTTTGTAGCGGATTGTTAGGTTCGTCACCAAGTATGTTTGAAACTATTACGGGTTCACCTTAGTCGATAAACGCGAACGAGAGAATGCACCGGCGTCCATGTAGGTTATCCTGATCTTCTGACTAATGAAATGTCTTGATGTAGCGTAGAATGTGTATTCTACAAACACCCAGCTAGCACAATGAATTTATACTCCATAGAGACGTCCTTGGGACAGTCACAAAAAGTAGCACACTAAAATACGGAGCAGCCAATCACAGCCAAGGATTTTCGTAGTGGAAAATGAAATATCAAGGTCAATTGATCAGTTCATGCTCGCAAACGTAAAATCCAAAATCAAGGCATTTATCAAGCGAGTTCTGGGGATCTAACGCTCCCAACATGGATGTGGTCGAAGAGAGAGAAATGTCGGATCCAGATTTACGGCTCGATCTGCCTGTTTTGAGGAATACAAGATATGTCGAAGGAGACAGCCAAAAATACACTTGTTTTGAAAAAAAATGGATCTTTTTGGCTAGTACATTGTGTCTTCTTTCATAACAGTTATCATTCATTCACCAATGTCACTCCGTTGTCTTATGGACTAGATCTTTGTGGATTCAACCTTTGGAGGAGAGTAGCGCCGAAAACAATATCCCCCATTATTCCACACTTCAATTCATTGATTTTTATGGTACACAAATATGCCGGTGCTATGTTTTGCTTCAAAAAAAGGACAATAAACAAACCACTATAAATTACAATAGGGATACTATCCCTAACTCACTCACGTCTCATATAGTTGTAAAATGAAAATTTCGGAAACGCAAAAAATCATTGCCCGAAATGAGACAAAGTGTAATAGAAGTGTTTGGGCCTATTTGCATTAAGCTGGGCTGCCTCTTCTACTATCCTGCGCCATATATGTGTACACCATATGAGACTAGAGGCTCGCAGTGAATAACGTGGATGTCAGGGCATAACTTTTGATAGGAGTAATATTTTTCAATGAAATTTGTTTCATTGCACTCCTCTCATCATCTCCTATCGAATGATATATAACATGTATACATGTCTTGACATTCATATTCTGCGCTTTGCACATGCTCTTACTCGCCATGTATTATAGGGATACTATCCCTAACTCACTCACGTCTCATATAGTCGAAAAATGAAAATTTCCGAAACGCGAAAAAAATCATTGCACGACATGAGACAGAGTGTAAATAATAGAAGTGCAGTAAGCTGGGCTGCCTCTTCTATTATCCTACGCCATATATGCTATACTGCTATATAGAGATGAAGGTCTCTTATGAGACTAGAGGCTTGCAGTGAATAATGTGGATGACTTGGCTTTGCTTTGGTAAGCACTACTAACAGTCCATATACAGACAGCAGGGTGACCGAATTCATTGATGTAGATGGTTGTTTTGCAACATTCCCGAGGGACATTGTCATTGGGGTGATGCATCGCTGCATATCACACCACTGCTAATAATAATCAGTTTGACAGTCATGTGTAAGCGGGAAGGGTCGAAATGACCTGTTCATGCAGTGCATATTGAGTGACGACGCGATCATTGATCGGAAATATATATACCATTGTGTGTATATAAAAATGGTGTGAATGGTCCACCAGGGGGTATCAGTTACCTGTGTATTGGTCGCACCACAGGATTTGAGCCGAACTGTTCATGTAGTAATTCATGGTAAAACGTGTGCAGTCAGTCTCTTTGGTTCTCCTGCAAAACCACCAATGTAAAATTGCCCCCTTAACAATATACAGAGTAAATTTATAGAATTGTCTAAATTCATTCAATAGTTTTTTTTATTTCATTTTTAAATTATCTCTTTACTACTTTTTCCTTCCTTCTTTTCGTTCAATTAATTTTTCTTTTACAGCATTAATGCGAGTTTGTTGTTGTTTACAAGAACGTTGTCTCCCATCAATGACATCACTTGTCTCTACTTTATTAGCTCGTCTTACACAAGTGACAAAGGTTTGTGTTCAGTGCTTGTTTGTTTGTTTTTAGTGTATTATTGTATTTGGTTTACAATTGAAATCATGATTTTGCAGGGGGAGTGCTGAAGTAGTTGAGCGTGTAGACTGCTTCAATTATCTGGAGAGTCTCGTCGGTGCTGCTGACTTGGTGTGTGACTTAAGCTCAGCATGGATACAGAATGTTCGATTAGATTTTGCCAACTTATGGCGTTGGCGAGATATCCGTTTGCTAACCAAAAGACGATTCTACTGCTCAGCAGTTCGCTCCGTCCTATTATATGGTTGTGAAGCATGGCTGGTAAGAGTAGAGGACATCCGTCAGTAATTAGTGTTCGATTATAGATGTCCTCGAAGCATTGCTCATATATCCTGGGACAGCCGAGTAAGCAATGCTGTAGTAAGGAAACGAGTACTAGGTACGGATGGCAGGTCAATAGATGAAGTATTGAGATTTAATCACTTGAGGTGGTTGGGTCATGTATTGCGTATGCCCAACCACCGACTGCCTGACGAGCTATGTTTTGCGGTATATGGATAGGCTGAACGAAAGCTAGGGGCGGCCAAACCAAAACCTGGCAGAAATCCATGAAATCACTGAAAAGTGAACTGAGCCATGTTGTTAGGCGTCGACTACCTGATTAGGGTCCGCAAGACGATAGTAACCGATAGTTTGAGACTTTGAATAACATGGCTCAAAATCGTTTGCAATGGCGCAAGTGCATCCACTATTTGTGTTCTCTCAAATCCTAGTCTTCTGGATTCTTCAACATCTCTACCTTTGTCTTTCTAACCTTATCTCACTGAATTATACTTCTTGAATAATATCTTCAAATCCTAATCTTCTCCATTACTGCTAATACTTCTACTATCGCTACCTTTATTGCATTTGAACTGAGAGTGGTATCTCCGTGCTAATGTGGTATGGCAACCTGAACTGATGTACTTAGGTACGAAGCTGTAAGTTGTAACTGACTGCAATCATGATTTAATATTTGTTAAACCATCTTTAGAAAGAAACCTCAAAGTACTGCCACCACTCATCCGTTGCAGATGCATCCACAACTCCTGTCGCTACTCGCAGGATTCGAACCGAGAACCTTCGGTTTGTCTTTACTCTTGCTATCATCATTATCAATTGTATATGTATATTCAACTTTTGTTACTAATGCACGTAAACATGTCAATTCGATATACTTGAACTTTTACGAGTTTATCTTAGTCGGTGAACGAGAGCGACGATTGATGATCCGGTGACACGACAGTCTACTCTAATCCGAGTGTCCTGAACCCTCATTGAGTAAAAGAAGAAATAGACTTGATATGAAGTAGAACATGTTACTCTACAAGCATCCATAAAGTACTAGGTCCGAGTCCAGAAGAGGATGAGTATCCTGGACTAGGGATCCGGGTCCAGGTCATAAAACGTTACAAATAATGCATATTTATACAGTTAGGTCGACCAATAGGAAACAACATTGAAGTGTCTGTGACATTAACAGTTAAGATGACCAATAGGAAGTAACATTTGAAGTGATATTGAAATTCAGGACGACCAATAAGAAACAACATTGAATTACGTGACATTGATAGTTAGGACGACCATAATATTGACTAGTAGGAATTGATTAATAGGATTAGACTTACAAAAAATAATTCTCTTAGAATATTGGATGAATATTCTAACAACGTTTTTTGATCATGTTTTTTTTTACTTGTTCCTCTTTGTAGAATCCATCTAAACCAGATTTTAATCATTTTCTATTTGAAACAATTTGTTTATGTATTCGTTTGACTTGTGTCACAGAACCTGCTTTAGTGTTACATTTTGAAGCAGCTTTTCTTCCTATTTTTCAAGATATTTTACAACAAGATGTTGTTGGTAAGTGTTATTATTATCATCAAATTCGCATGCATGAATTTTGTTGATGTATATTTTTTTCGAAACCTCTAATCTATTTCATTGAATGCATCGATCGATCAGTGTTGGATCCTCCACTATTGGAATCGTGGAAGCTGTTAGGTTTATGTTTGAAACTATTACAGGTTCACGTTAGTCGCGATAAACGCGAACGAGACAATGAACCAGCGTCCAAGTAGTCTACCCTGATCTGTTGATGAATGAAAAGTCTTGATGTAGTGTAGAAAAGTCTATTCTACAAACACCCAGCAGCAAGCACACAAATCTCGTTTATTTATACATCATAGAAACGTCCTATTGGGACAGTCACAAAAATAGCACATTAAAATACACAGCAGCTAATCACAGCCGGGGATTTTCCTGGTGGGAAATGAAATCTCAATGTCCACTGATCAGCCGATGCTTGCAAAAATGAAATCCGAAATTTAGGCATTTATCAAGCGAGATCTGGGGGATCTAACGTCCCCAACAGAAGCATTGAACGGCCGTTTTGTTCTAGTAATATGGGACTGACCAGGAGCGTGCATCCACCATTTCACAAGTGGGAATCGAACCCAACACATTCGGTATCATACGTGAAAACGCTTAACCCCAAGATTTCAGTGCAACTCAATAGTCTCCACAACCCTACCATAAATTTATTCCATTTTGCTGATCACCCTTTACGTTAATTTTTTTATTACTGGCTGTCATATAGAGCTTCGTTTTATAGCTTCAAGCATGTGAGTGTCTGCTTGGCTATTGTATGTCATTTACAGGATACATGTATGCCTTAGATTTAACTGGACATAGTCAAAACAAGATAGCATTTAGCTTTCTAGCTAATTTAGTTTGAACAGATTTTGTAGAGTTTAATTTAATTTATAGGTTGAATTCCCCATAGATTGAAAATTGTGGAATTATTGATCAGCTGTGTTTCGTCCTCATATGGGACTCTTTTGGAGGTGTGCATCCATGACACCAACAAAAGGGTTAAGCCTATATTGAAACCATTGAGTTGACTGACAACTGATTGTACAATCCCACCTTTAAATCAGATCCCGATGTAATGTAATGGTTATTCACTCTCACTGATGACAACTATTTCACTTCTAATCTATCCAAGCTTCAGCAGTGACAATTTATCACGTAAACTGTAGAAACATGCTAAATTAAATTTCCTCAGTAAACTAACTATCATAGTGTTGTAATTGAAGTCTGAAGAGTTCCATATTCAGTCAGTCAGCAACAACGTAGAACTTCATACTTACGTATATCAGTCCAAATTTACACACTACATTACCTGAGATCAATCGACAGCAACGTTGAACTTCGTACATAAGTACATCAGTTCAAGTTGCCATACCAAATTAGCACAGAGATGTAATTGTCAATGCAAATCCCATATTAGTATGTACTAAAAGTACTAACAGTAATCGGAGATATTAGGGTTCGAAAATATTATTCATGAAGTAGAATCTACTGAAATAAAGAGAAAGATAAATGTGTTTAAGAATTTCAGAGAGCAAAGAGAATGGATGCATCTGTGTCATTGCAAACGATAGTCGGTCATGTTATTCAGAAAGTCTCTAACCATCGCCTAACTATTGTCTCGCAGTCAGCTAGAGTACATCTATCTGCAAACATGACTCAGTCCAGTAGTTAGTGACTTGATAGATTTGTCCCATGTTTTGGATTGACCGACTAGCCTATATATATATATATATATATATATATATATATATATATATATATATATATATATATCAGACAACATCGCCCGTCAAGACATTCGTGGTTGGGCATACATAACACGTGCCACAGGCACATTCACTACTTCATCAATTGACTTGTTATCAATGACTATTGTCTCACGGACCCTAATCAGTTAGGTAGTCTAGTCTACGCTTACTAACATGACTTAGGCCAGTTGTCAGCACGAATAGAGAAAGCTCGATTGGCCAACCTGCGTCACTTATGGTGTAGGCGAGGTATCCGTTCGCTAACCAAAGGACGGGTGTACTGCGCAGCAGTTCGCTCCGTTCTCCTATCTGGATGCAAAACATGGCCGTTAAGAGTAGAAGATATTCGTACGTTATTAGTATTTGATCATAGATGTTTAAGAAGCATTGCTCGTATACCGTGGGACAACCGAGTTAGCAATGCTCTCGTTAGGAAACGAGTACTAGGTAAGGATGGCAGATCAATCGATGAAGTATTGAAACTTTATCTGTTGAGGTGGTTGACACATGTGTTACGTATGGCTAACCACCGACTGCCTGGACGAGCTATGTTTTGTGGAGTGGGAGTAGGTTGGAAGAAATCTAGGGGCGGCCAGACCAAAGTCACTGACGAATGGACCGAGACATGTCGGTAGATGTAGGCTACCTGGTTGGAGTCCGCGAAACGAAATTCACCGATGGTTAGAGACCTTGAACGACATGGCTCAAAATCGTTTGCAATGTCGCAAGTGAATCCATTCATTGGGCTCTCTCAAATCCTAATCTTCTGGATTCGTCAGCATCTCTACCTTTGTCTTTCTAACCTTATCTCACTGAATTATACTTCTTGAACAATATCTTCAAACCCTAGTCTTCTTCTTCATTACCATTAATACCTCTACTATCTTTATCACACTATGGGATTTGATTTGACATTTGCATCTCTGTGTTCTAATGTGGTGGTATGGCAACATGAACTTATGTACATACATACGAAGTTCTACGTTGTAACTGACTGAACTGACTGACTGACAGAGAAGAATAGTTCCATATTCGGTGATAGAAAAACAAACCACAGCTGTCCAATGTGTGCATGTCTGTTTGTCATTATTATTTTTATTACCTTGTCTCGGCGGTTGTTTCTATCCTCCTCCTCATAAGCCTTCTTTCTTTCTTTCGATATCTACTAGAATTTATTCCTTATGTATTTCAATTAATCAGTATTATGCTAGAACAATATCCATTATCACAAACTGTTTTGACAAATTGTAAATTACCAATACCTCCTGGTACTACGAATGGTTTGACAACAACAACCACTAATACATTATCCACCAATCAATTGCGACCATCACAAGCTTATGCTGCACTGCTGCAACGCATTCTTGTCCCCTCATTATGGGAACCGAATAGAAATGTACCATCATTGGTTCGTTTGTTACAAGCTTATTTGTTACATGATATGGATGATGTATTGACAGCCAATAAAGTAGGTTATTTATCCAATTTGATAAGATTTATCCCATTTATTTTATAAATACCTGAAAATTGATTTGTTGCACGATACAGTGACTTACTTACGCCTGTCATCACCAATGGAGCATAGACTGCCGCCGACGCCCACTAGCATTCTCCAACTTACTCTTGTCCTGGGCCTTACTCTTTTCAGTTCTGTGCAATTGTTGTTTATATTCTCATGCCTGCTTCCAGTTCTCGGAGTAATGTGTTCTCTGACCTTGTGGATTCCAGGTGAGAGCTTGTTTTGTGATGCTGCAGTTGGGTACTTGGTGCAATGTGTTTCCTATCCACCTTCATCGTATTTCCCCCAATTTCTTCCTGATATGCTTGAAATTGTTACGATTTCACTTTAGTAGGGTAAATGAGAGCGAAGACAAATGATCCAGTGACACTATAGGCTACACTAATCCGTACGTCCCAAAGTCCTATTAAGTAGAGGAAAAAAATTCTTGACAAGACGTAGAAAGTATATTCTACAAGCACCCAGAAAATATGAGGTTTTCAATCGAGTTTATTTATACAAGATAGAAACGTCCTTGGGAGAGCCACAAAAACAGTGTACTAATATAATACATGCATCAACCAATGACAGTTAAGGATTTTCCGGGTGGGAAATGTAATCTCATTCGCCAAAATATAAAATCCAAAATTAGGACCGTTATCAAGTGAGTTCTGGGGGTATAACGTCCCTAGCACCTCTTCTGCTCTGATTTGATTTGTTCTCTCCCACAGTAGGTTGTTGTTGATTACTTACTTACTTACGCCTGTTACCCCCGATTGAGCACAGGCCGCCCACCAGTTTTCTCCAACCAACTCTGTCCTGGGCTTCCTTCTCCAGTTCTGTCCAATTTTTGTTCATTCCTCACATATCTTCCTCTATTTCTCGGCGTAATGTGTTCCTTGACCTTCCTCTTTTCCTTTTGCTTTGAGGGTTCCATGTGAGGGCTTTCTCGTGACCCAGTTAGGTGCTCTCCGCAATGTGCGTCCTATCCACTTCCACCGCTTATTCTTGATTTCCAACTCTACTGGAATCTGGTTTGTTCTCACCCACAGTACGTTGTTGCTGATGGTGTCTGGCCAACGAATACGAAGTATTTTGTGAAGACAACTGTTAATAAACACTTGTATCCTCTGGATGATGGCTTTGGTAGTTCTTCATGTTTCCGCTCCACACAGTAGAACTGTCTTGACATTTGTATTGAAAATCCTGATTTTGGTTTTGGTTGAAGGTTGTGTGGAGTTCCAGATATTTTTCAGCTGTAGAAATGCAGCGCTTGCTTTGCCGATCCGCGCCCTCACATCTGCATCAGATCCACCTTTCTCGTCGATGATGCTGCCCAGATATGTAAAGGTGTTAACGTCCTCCAAGGCATCTCCATCAAGAGTGATTTGGTTGGTGCATGTTGTGTTGCATCGGAGAATTTCGCTTTTTCCTTTATGTATGTTGAGATCTACTGTTGTTGATGGTGTTTGGCTAAAGGATCCGAAGTATGTTGCGTAGACAACTGTTCATGAACACTTGTATCCAGAAGATACAAGTGTTTTTTATTAAGTGTATGATTGAAGTTGATGATCAGCTACTCAGTGATCAAACTACATGACCCCATTCATTGTAGGTATTCATTTGTTAAACTGAATTTTGTGAATCTCTACAGTGAATAGCTTTGTTGGTCTCTCTCCACACGATAACCACCGATCAGTGTGTTATATATGCCAAGTCGTTCCGTCCATGTTTAGTTGTTTCTACTGAAATGGCATTTTTTATGGCGTTGTGTGTGTGTGTGTGTGTCAATTTGAGGTCAAAGGATACATGGGTCAATTTCGCATGTTGATTATTTCTGGTTAACCTTTTTTTAGCGAGTTAGTTTTTGTTATAGGATGGGGACGCCAACCCCATGTCCAACCCTCCTTTTTTGTCTGGGCTTGGGACCCTCAGTGGCCCCAGAGAGGCTCCAGGCGGAGTTATTTTGATTATAACTGACTATTTTATTCTTCAGTTGATTTCACTCATTGATTTTATGAGTGGATTGTGGTAGTGTTCAAATGGTCAAACTAAAGCAGATAAATTTTCTTAGATGGGGCAGGGGGGCTACTCAACTTGCCTTTGACCTATGAGACTAGTTAACAAGGCAATGGAGTGATGTCAGGCGATTCATTATCATGGTATAGCCAGTGTTCATACGCCATTCGTTCCATTAAGATGCCAGAGTCCATTCGCACCATTGATTTGGTGGAATCAAGGTTTTTGCACTCTTCTAAGTGAATCATCCATATCCCACTGGATATTCGCTTTCTTCTTCGATGAGAAGGCAGTAGTGAGTAAGATTTCCCTAACAGTAACTATAATATGTATGGTCATTTAAGAGAATTTCGAAAGGGAGAGTTAAGTTGTCTCTACAGTCAACCATACAAATGGTATTCAGAAGTACGTATGTCAAAAAAGAGTCACTGATACCAAGTACAGAATAATCCTTCATTTAAACCTCATTAAATTGTCAATACATGTATGTAAACTATGCGGGACTCTAACCCAGTACTGTTTACTTCAAACAGCATTGCGTTTCGCTATCGCAACTTAGGGTGATTTGCTCATATGCCAAGTTCTATGTTTTGGCTGACTGACAGACTATCGCGTTATCTACTTACCTTTTAAGTTCAGATAACCACGGGTATTGAAATCAAGTCTTGGAGTGAACATCAGCTTCTGAATTGTTATGGTAGGTGTACACATTATCCAGTCACAGATGAGTTTCAAATAGGATGAAACACGTGTATCATGGATTCCACTGCTAGCCATATTCTATCTGTTCTATGCAAACTTCTTTTGTTTTGTTCTTGTTTGTTTGTCTCACAGAACAGTCAATGTTTAATAACAACACAAATAGGTTCATATTTGTATGCATAAAGGTTTTTATTTTGCACGCACTATTTTTCCCCACAATTGTTCAAATCAAACTGCACTAGGATTAAGTCGTATCGTGGGCCACCCGAGTAAGCAATACCGCCATTAGGAAGCGAGTACTAGGTAAGGATATCAGATCAATTGATGAAGCGGTGAAACTTCTTCAGTTGATGTGGTTGGGACATGTGTTACGAATGCCTAACCACCGACTGCCGCGACAAGCTATGTTTTGAGGTGTAGGAATAGGTTGGAATAAAGTTAGGGGCGGCAAAACCAAAACATGGTGGGAATCCATGAAGCCACTGGCAAGTGGACTGAATCATGTTGGTAGATGTACACTACCTGGTTGGGATCCGCGAGACGAAGGTCACCAATCGGTTGAGACCTTGAAATACATGGATCCAAATCGTTTGCGATGGCACAGGTTCATTCATTCACTGTATTCTCTCAAATTCTAACCTTCTGAATTCCTCATCAACTCCATCTTTCTCTTTCTACAGTTATCTCACTGAATTATACTTCTTGAATATTATCTTCAAATCCTAATCTTCCTCATTAGCAGTAATTCTTGTACTATCTCTACTACTATGGGGTTTGAATTGACAGTTGCGTCTGTGTGCTAATGTGGTATGGTAACATGAACACTGATATACTTAAGTACGAAGTTCTACGTTGTAACTGACTGACTGAGAATTGATTCTCCAAATGTTGAACATCATAATAATACTAGAATTTAAAAGGTGTGTGTGTACCTTGAAATTTATGGTGATGATGATAACTCTTTACTGAACATCAAAACTCTAATGTCCTTGCTAGAGGATTTTATTTTTTTAGTCACAATCCAATTGTCCTGTCACCATCGCCTTTCATTATCCTCGTGTAGAACGAAACTCTAATTAGTCAAAGCAATCCATGTTGGACCGTCACCGGGACCATGAAAACACTTGCTATGCGAAACCACAACTCAGTCGATGCGTATGAGCGAGACATAGATGGAATAAAGTATGATTGCGTTGGCTGCACGCTGATTGGCTAATTGCTATCCAATCAGCGCTAGTCGTTACTTGGAGTACATTCCAGAAGCTTCTCATGTTAAAACTATAAAGATACTAACGTTGTTCCTCCTATTTCGCCTTCACTTCGGCTTCTTACTTCTATTTAACCTTGCTGTGTCCTTTCCAACTGTGTTCTGATTTGGTGACTTGTCGAGTGGATTGTTGTCAGAAAGAGAATACTAAGCAATAAGAATAGCTGGGTTCTACTAAGAGAGTTTATAACAATGAGAAATCGAACTCAGAATGTTCGGTCAGTCTCGTGCGCGCGGTCACTTAACCTCTTCATCATTATAGGCTGGCAATCACGACACTGCAATGTCGTGAAATGTCAATAATAATTCTTGAAAAAATATACTTCATCACTTTTCTAACTACTTGAACGTCAGTTATTATGTAACAATGTTTCTCCTTGTTTCATTCATTCATTCAGGGACATATTTTGGTAAGCAATTCTCTAAATGTACTCTTACCTAATTATTCCCATATACTTATATCATGTAATCATCAGTTATATCACTCTCATTTACAAAAAGACAACTTCTTATATGAAGACTTTGCCTGGTATTGAGAGAAGAATGATGCCTCTGTAGTTCTCACACTTGCTGAGATCGCCTTTCTTTGGTATTTTGATCAGGTATCCTTCTTTCCAATCTGATGGTACTTGTTCCTCATCCCAAATCTTCTTGAAGAGAATATGAAATATATTTGCAGTTGCTTCCACATCTGCTTTCATTGCCTCTGCTGGAATATTGTCTAGTCCTGCTGCTTTGCCGCTCTTGATTTGTCTGATGGCCATACTGACCTCCTCAATTGTAAGTGCGCTAATATTAATTGGGAGGTCCATGGATGCTGCTTTGATGTTGGGTGTGTTCAGTGAAGCTGGTCGATTCAAGAGTTCCTTAAAGTGCTCTTCTATCCACCTATTTCTCTGTTCTTCAGTGTTGCTGGTTACTTTGCCTTCCTTGCTTTTCACTGGTCGTTCTGGTTTACAATAGTTTCCGGCCAGCTTCTTTGTTGTTTCGTACAATTGTCTCAAGTTTCCGTCTCTTGCAGCCTTAGGATATTTGATGAATATCCTAACAGTCAGTCAGTCAGTTGCAACGTAGAACTTCGTACGTAAATACATCAGTGTTTATGTTACCATACCACATTAACACAGAGACGCAAATGTCAAATCAAATCCCATAGTGATAAAGATAGTAGAGGTGATATTAATGGTAATGAAGAAGAAGACTAGGGTTTGAAGATCTTATTCAAGAAGTATAATTCAGTGAGATAAGGTTAGAAAGACAAAGGTAGAGGTGCTGACGAATTCAGAAGATTAGGATTTGAGAGAGCACAACGAATGGATGCACTTGCGCCATTGCAAACGATTTTGAGTCATGTCGTTCAAGGTCTCTAACCATTGATGACTATCGTCTCGCGCACTCCAACCAGTTAGCCTACATCTACCAACATTACTCAGTCCACTTGTCAGTGACTTCATGGATTTGTGCCATGTTTTGGTCTGGCCGCCCCTAGCATTTATCCAATCTACTCCTACACCACAAAACATAGCTCGTCGAGGCAGTCGGTGTTTAGGCATTCGTAACACATGTCCCAACCACCTCAACTGATGAAGTTTCACCGACCGAAGCTTCTACCTTGACGTGGTGGACGGGATTGCCTTTAGTGATGACCCGACCGAGATATATTGGCTGGAACATATGTTCCTGGAGGTTCTACCATGCCAGGCAGGTCGATTGGAGAACGATAAGACTAGAAGCAGCTACCCAAGGTCTGAGAGTGAAGTCGTACTGCTGACTGTAGGGAGTTGTGACAACAGTAAGGTGTTTCCCTCGGACAACCAGCATCTGTAGCGATGCTTCCTTGTCACAAGGAAGCAAGGTGTTAGAAATGGTCGACCCTAAAAATGTCACACCTCACCCTACCTCATGGATTTCCGTCTCCGGCGGTTAGGGTTCCCATTAAGGTCTTTCAAGAGCAGAGCTAACACTCAAAAAACTTCTCATAAAAAGGCCGTGCGTGACCGGCCTCAAGCAGTTGTCCACTGGGCTCTGCGATCACGCTCCCAGGTCGTTCAGACCAACACTAATCTACCTTTTTTAGGTCCCTCAAGAAAACACCCTTCCACGGTATGTGGGCAGCCGCAAAGTGACAACCGCCCTCATACCCGTAACAATACACGAGAATATCCTAACTCTATTCACTTCACACCACTCTTTTCATTTTTTTTTACAGATTACCCCAATCTTAGGTGTATTTCAAAAATTAGTCAATTCCTCATTGAATGATGTGTATGCATTCGCCTTGTTGAATGCCATCCTATTATCTAGTCCAAAAGATGTATTAATGCCAAATTATTTTCGTCAAATATTCATGATTATATTTCGTCGTTTACAGATGTGTAAAAAAGAGAAATTTATGAAAGGTTAGTGTTTTTACCCCTTTTTTATCTGTAATGACACGATGTTTTATTCTAGATGCACTGTATTTTGTAATCTCTCTCTCTCTCTCTATTGTACAAGTGTAAAACAGGATCAGTCAGAGTAGAGGTGACTAGTCTTTGAAACAGTGCTATGGATGTTAGGGAAATGGTACGTACTAGGTAAGGATGTCAAATCCTTTGTTGACATAGTGAATGGGGATCCTACGACATTATATATGTGTGCACCATATGCTATGCCAGGCATGTCGATTGGAGAACGATAAGACTAAAAGCAGCTACTCAAGGTCTGAGGGCGAAGTCGTACTGCTGACTGTGATGGACGGGTGTGACAGCAGTAAGGTGTTTCCCTCGGACAACCAGCATCTGCAGCGATGCTGCCTTCTCACAAGGAAGTAACGAAGGTGTTAGAAAAGTTCGACCCTAACAATGTCACACCTCACCCAAACTTACGGATTTCCGTCTCCGTCGGTAAGGGTGCCCACTATAAAGGCTTTCAAGAGCGGTAATATGTTCATTCTAGGCGCTGTATTTTGTGCTCTCTCTATTGTACAAGTGTAACACATGATCATTAAGAGTAGGAGATATATTTGTAGGTGACTGACTAGTCTTTGAAACAATGCTGTGGTTGTTAGGGAAATGGTACATACTAGGTACTAGCTGAGGATGTCAAATCATTTGATGACATAGTGAATGGTGGTGATCCTACGCCATTATATATGTGTACACCATATACTATGCTATACTGCTTGCGATATAGAGCTGAAGGTCTCCTATTGAGACTAGAGGTTTAGCTGTGATGAACATTGTGAATGACTTGGCTTTGCTTTGGTAAGCATTGTTAACAGTCCATATACAAAATTGGTTAGCAAGGTGACCGATTTCATTGATACTACTCGTGGTTGTTTTGCAACATTCCCGAGGGCGATTGTCGTTGGGGTGTTGTATTGCATATCATCGTTGCTAATAACAATGAGTTTGACAGTCATTTGTAAGCGGGATGGGTCGAAATGGCCTGAGTTCATGCGGTGCATATTGATTGACGAAGCGATCATTGATCGGAAATATATATACCGTTGTGTGTATATGAAATGGTGTGAATGGTCCACCAAGGGGTACCAGGTAGCTGTGTATTGGTTGCACCACAGGATTGAGCCGAACTGTTCATGTAGTAATTAATGGTAAAACGTGTCCAGTCTCTTTGGTTCTCCTGCAAAACCACCAATGTAAAGTTGCCCTTAACTATACGCGGTAAATTTATATAATCGTGAATTAGGACATGTGTTACGTATTCTGAACTGTTCGACTGTCCCCGACGAGCAATGTTTCTAGTTACATTGATAAAATCTGTATATCTGTTCATGAACAACAACTGTCTAGCTGGGGAGGTACAAGAAATAGGAGGGGAGTGTTGGATGAAAACAGAATGACTCTCCTTTTTTCGTTCGTTGTCTATTCAAAGTGATCAACTGATCAAGAACATCTTTGTGATTGGCCCGATTGTAACATACAAAGAAGTCAAGAAGGATCAGATGAAATATGTATGATGTCATCTTCAGACATTCATATAGGGGATACGAACAGGCTGTTGTGACTCACATCTCTGATTATGTATTTTAAATCTCCAGGACACTACTCTTTCGGGGGTAGCGACTTTTAGTCAACTCTCTCTCTGTCTGTCTTGCATACTACTTATATGTGTCACCTTTTCAGTAGTATCTACCTACCACACTATCATTCAAATCGTATTCATTTCGTTTTTTAAATGTTAAATTTTTATTTATTCATAGTTTTATTATTATAAACTGACTTTTCATAGGTCCCCCTAAGTGCTTCTGTGGTTTCTAATGATTAGTGTAACAATGAACCGACTCATTATCTTAATAAATCATTTACTTGCCTTGTCAATGGGACTGATGAAGCTCTCTATTTACTAATCGATACATCGACTACGCGCTCGAAGGTGCGAGGTTCGATTCCCGCGAAGTGAGGGCTCACCTAACTAACTTGCCTTCATACCCGACATGGTTGAACTTCGATGGTTACGACTTCTCACTAGAACTGCGAGAATTTCCTGATGAAGCTAGTCACTACCAAAGACATATGTGTACTGACACTGATGAGGCCCATACTGTAAGGATGATTCAGCCGTCTAGTGCTTGTGAATTTCTAATGATGATTTAACAGTGATCGATTAGCCTCCTTTGTGTAGAGTTAGCCGGTATGAATTGTACTTGTGCACTAATTCACCGAAGACAAATGGGTGAGGTCGCACAAAATCGCTATATTGATCAGAGTTAGACATTAACTCCGTTAGATGCCGGCTCAGAGGTTAGGCGTGCACGCTCAAGACCGAAGGTCCTGGGTCCGAATCCTGAGGGGTTCAGGAGCCGTGAATACGCACTACTGATGATGAGTCCTATACTCCGGGACGAAACGGTCGTCTTTCAGTGCTACCAGGTTTCTAATGTTAGTGGTCTAACAATGACTACTGTTTGATGATTGATACACTGTTATCACCTCATTATCAGTTTCATTTGTCTTTTCCCGAGATTACTACACAAGTTACTGGATCGAACTCACTGACTTGGAATTTTCTAAAAGTTTAAAATTTTTACTGAAATTGTTGTATTTGATACTATTCAATCCTTGTACACATTACTACGTGCTCCCCCCCCTGTATTACTGAGTTTTATTTTTATTTTATTTTATTCTTTTCACCAGCCTTTGCATCATTCATTGCTCATATGGTGTTAATCTATACACCGGATGAATTAATCACACTTATTGATAGTATTCAACCAAATCTATTTGCACGTGTTTTAGAAAAAGTACTTATACCATATGCTGAAATAATTATCACTACACCATTGATTTCAAGTACTGGTTTTACAAGTAAGACAATAGTTTGAATTTAATTTTACACATGTATTGTATTGTATTCATTGTTCTACTGTTGTTGTTTTATGGTATTGTCATATGGGTATCAATATGATTACACTTTGTGGATGTCTGTGTGACAGTCAGTCAGCAACAACGTAGACTTTGGTATGTGCGTACTGGCACGTCGTGGAATGACTGAGTGAGTAAACAATGTTGAAGTTAAACAAACAGTACTTAGATAAAGGTGACAAATCGGTTAATAAGGTTTATGGATCACTGTCAATGAAGGTAGTTAGATTATATGTTTTATGTAAGGCCGCCTAAACACCACCACCTTGGGATTGAAAGTCAGCTTAATGTGGCTAAACCATAAAGCTTGACATTAGTCCGTGAAGTGATTAACTATTAGTCTGAATTCAGTTGGTGAGTAACAACGTAGAATTTCGTTCTTACGTACGTACGTACATCAGTTCATCTACCATACCACATTAGCTCAGAGAGAGACAGCTGTTAATTCGAATCCCATAGTTGAAGATGTAGTAGAAGTATGAGCAGTAATCGGAGAGGTTAGGGTTCGACGATATTATTCAAGAAGTGGAATCTAGTGAAATAAAGTTAAAAAGGGAAAGATAAAGGTGATGAGGAATTCAGAAGGTTGGGGGGACTTGAGAGAACTCAAAGAATGAATGCAGCTGCGCCATTGCAAACGATTTGGAGCCATATCATTCAAGGTCTTTAGACATCAGATACTATTGTCTCGCCAACCCCAACTATGTGGTCTACACTTACCAACATGACTCAATGACTTCATGGATTTGTGCCATGTTTTGGTTTGGCCGCCCTTTAGCTTTCTTCCAACCTAATGCTGCACCACAAATCCTAGTTCGTCGAAGCAGTCAATGGTTGGGCATACTGTTGAATCAACTACATTTTAAAGTAGTGTAGTGAAGGAGAGAACACACGTGAGGGCAACCGAATTGTATTTTTCTCAAATTACAGAGTTAATGAGTAAAATAGAAAAACCATATCGTAAATTGTTAATTTGCAAAACATCAATCCATTGTCGGACATTTCACTGTTCATGCATTTCATACAAATTCCATTGTGTTCCCGCTCTTGCTTTCTTGATCTTCCCCCCCATCTTCTACTGCCAGGCATTACGTTTTTACTCGCGTCATATACTACTTAAAAGTAGCGCGCATCACAGTAGTACTTTATTTTCATATTTTCAAATATTCCATTTTCAAACACTTTGATTCAATCAGTTTGCTTAGATTATGCACTCTCGCCTTACGATTATTAACGTACGATTTACGATAGGCTGTTTTTTACTTCACCGGTTGGGACATGTACTACCAATACCCGAACACTGACTGCCTCAGTAAGCGATGATGCTTGGTGTAGTGGTATGATGGAAAAAAGTTAGGGTTGCTCAAACTAAAACATGACACAAATGCATGAAGTCATTGACTACTTGAATGAGTCATGATGGTAGGTGTAGACTAGACTACCTGGTTAGGATGGGCGAGACCATAGTAACCGATGGTTAGACACTTTGAATAACATGCCTCAAAATCATTTGCAATTGCGCAGATGCATCCATTCTTTTTGTTCTCTGAAACTCTAATCTTCAGAATACCTCATCACTATCTTTCTCTTTCTACATTTATTTTACTGAATTATACTTCTACTACTATGAGATTTGAATTGATATGTCGATCTCTGTGTGTTAATGTGTTGGTATGGCAACTTGAACTGACGTACGTACATATGAAGTTCTACGTTGTAGCTGACTAATGACTTACTATACTGTAGGAGAATATTTTTTTTCTTATGATGAAACGTTTAGTTCTTAATTTGTAATAACTGACATTAGAAATCTGTTAGTTAAATATGATTGTTCCGATAGTTTCTAGTACTTACTGTTTCTAACTGATGAACAGTATCATTTGAAACCCTGATTATATTGTAAGACTTTCAAGTTATTATCTGGTGAGTCTCATCAGTAATGATGGATGGCCTGGTGACTGACGAAATTGCAGTTCGGATACAGAAGGCTCGATTGGCTTTTGCCAACCTGCGTCATTTATGGCGTAGGCGAGATATCCGTTTGCTGACTAAAGGACGAGTGTACTGTGCAGTAGTTTGCTCCGTCTTACGTTATGGCTATGAAACATGGCCAATGAGAGTAGAAGATATACGTAGGTTACTGGTTTTCGATCATAGGTGTCTTCGAAGCATTGCTCGTATATCCTGAGACACCCGAGTGAGCAACGCTGTTATTAGAAAACGGGTGCTAGGTAAGAATGGCAAGTCGATAGATGAAGTAGTGAAACTTCATCAGTTGAGGTGGTCGGGACATGTGTTGTGTATGCCTAACCACCGACTGCCTCGACGAGCTTTATTTTGTAGTGTAGGAGTAGGTTGGAAGAAAGTTAGGGGCGGCCAAACCAAAACGTGGCAGAAATCCATGAAGTCATTGACGAGTGGACTTAGCCATGTCGGTAATTGTCGACTACCTGGTTGGGGTCCGCAAGATGATAATAATCGATGGTTAGAGACTTTGAATGACATGACTCAAAATCGTTTGCAATGGCGCCGGTGCATCCACTCTTTGTGTTCTCTCAAATCCTAATCTTCTGGATTCTTCAACAATCCCTCTAGTTTTGACTTTCTAAACTTTTTTCACTGAATCATACTTCTTGAATAATACCTTTTAATCCTAACCTCTCCGATTACTTCTAATACCTTTACTACCTCTTCTACTACTATTGGATTTGAATTGACAATTACATCTCTGTGCTAATGTGTAGTATGGCAACATGAACTGATGTACTTACGTACGAAGTTCTTTCTACGTTGCATCTAACTGACTGAAGTTATTACATTGGCTACTACTAATTTTTTTGTTGGGGTGAGTGTCTTATCACTCACTACCTCTCTGTAACTTTTTTCATATAATAAAAACCTCAAAAAAGTAATTGTCAATTGATCAGAAAGAAAATTTATGTTACATTGTGTTTCGTTTTCTTTTGTAGAAAGTGCCGAAGTGTCCAGTGTACCATCTACAGCTGTTTGTACAGAATGGCGTGTAAATAGTATTGGATTAATACGTTTTATTGGTGAATCACAAAATTTATTGGTTAACACTTCAACTTATCATGATTCATGGCTTCCTTTATTAATTAAAATTATCACTGGTTTAGCTGGTGGTCCAGGACGTGGTGGTGAGCCGGCTAGTGATATGGCTGTATCAATTGCAATGAATTCTATGGTGAATGGTTTTCAAAAAGATGAACGTTTCATTGAAATTGATTCAGATCCTTGTAAGTGTATTTTTCATTGCGTACTTACTTTTATGCCTGTTATCGCTAACAGAACATAGGCTACTGACCAGCATTTTCTAACCTACTCTGTCTGGAGCCTTCCTTTCCAGTCCTACCCGGTGGTTGCTGTTCATTCATTGCCTATTTGTGTACAATTCTCAGCGTAGCGTGTTCACCGGTCTTCGTCTTCTCCTTCGTCGTTGAGTATTTCAAATGAGGGCTTGTCTTATGACACAGTTGGGTACTTTCCTCAATGTATGTCTTATCCACCTCCAGTGCTCCTTCTTAATTTCTTCAGCTGGAGTCTGGTTTGTTCTCTGCCACAGTAGGTTGTTGCTGAATGTGTTTGGCTCGTGAAGAGCAAACTCGAGAAAACCAATCTGATTTTCGATTTTGACGTGGCTGTATAGACCACGTCTTCACACTACGACAGGTCCTGGAACACAGACACACATTTAGGCGTCCTACAATAGTTGTTTTCCTGGACCTAAAAGCGGCATTTGACTCAGTGGATCGTGAGGTTCTGTGGCAGTGTCTGTCATTGAAAGGTGTACCAAAGAAGTGCATTAACCTTATACAAGCTCTCTACTCGAACACCACTGGTCGAGTGAGAGCTTATGGCGAACTATCATCGGAATTCTCTACTTCAGTGTAATTCTCAGTGTAATGTGTTCACTGGTCTTCCTCTTCTCTTTCCGGCGTTGAGGATTCCAAATGAGGGTTTGTCTTGTGACACAGTTTGGGTACTTTCTTCAATGTATATCTTATCCACCTCCAGTGCTCCTTCTTAATTTCTTCAGCTGGAATCTGCTTTGTTCTCTGCCACAGTAGGTTGTTGCTGATGTTGTCTGGTCAACGGATCCGAAGTATTTTGAGTAGATAACTGTTATCTTCTGGCTGATGACTTGTGTAGTTCTCCAAGTTTCCGCCCCATACAGTAGGATTGTCTTGAAGTTTGCATTGAAAGTTCTGAATTTGGTGTTGGTTGATAATTATTTTGACTTCCAGATAGTTCTACTATATATGGAACCGGGACTTGGAGAACCGCGAAAAATCGTATTCAAAAGATACAGGTATTTTGTGCACAAGTGTCTATGCAAGATACTGAGAATCTATTGATCAAATAGTATCAGCAACAAACTATTTTGACCTGAGAAAACACTAGCCTCCTCCAGTTGGAGGTGGATAGGACACTAATTGCGTAAAACACCCAACTGCCTCTCTCGAGGTCAACCTTAACTTCGAGTCCTCAAGGCTAAAGGAAAGAGGGTAGACTAAGAGACGCATTACGATCAAAATCGAAGGCAAACATGAGAGGAATGAATAACAGTAGAGAATAATTGGCAAAGAGAGAGTTGAGGACAGATTGGGTTGGTGAATGCTGTTTGGCGACCTATACTCCACAATGAGTAACAGGTGTAAGTAAGTAAGTAAGTGAAGTAACACTGTCTATCTACTCAATACACCAAGTAAAAGATTTCATGTAATGATGTATCAGTACTGCGTATAAGTTTGTATCTTCACTGGGAACTATATTTTGTTCATGTAAAAGTCAGTCAGAGAATTATTAAGAGATGCAGGAAGGATTTGATTGTAACCAATTTGGTCTGGTTTGTTGTTACGGTTATGAGGGCGGATGTCACTTCCTGGCTACGAACACCGCGGAAGTTTGCTTCTTCAGGATGTTGGATTAGTGTTGGTCTTAGAGACACGTGGGAGATCGTGACTGGCAGAGCTCAAGTAATTTCAAAGTGTTGGCTTCGCTCTTCAAAAAGCCTTGCCAGCGGAAACGGATATCCTTGAAGTAAGGTAAAGTGTGGCATTTTTAGGGTTGACCTTTTCTAACCCTTTCCTTCCTTATGAGAAGGCATCGTCGCTGCAGATGCGGGTTGTCCGAAAGAAACATCTTACCGCTGTCACACCCCTCTACAGTCAATAGTACGACTTCTATCTCAGACCTTGAGTTGATGTATTAAGTCTCATCGTTCTCCAACCTACCTGCCTGGCATGGTAGGACCTACAGGCCAATAAAAATTATACTGTCTTTTTTACTAATTGAGCATAAGTAAAAATGCTAAATACCGATATACATTACACATTACTTACTTTTGCCTGTCACCACCCAACGGAGCATAGGCCGCCCACCAGTTTTCTCCAACCTACTCTGTCCTGTGCTTCCCTTTCCAATTCTGTCCAATGTTTGTTCATTCCTCCCATATCTTTCTCTGTTTCTCGGCGTAATGTATTCTTTGGCCTTCCTCTTTTCCTTTTGCCTTGAGGGTTCCATATGAGGGCTTGTCTTGTGACGCAGTTAGGTGCTTTCCGCAATGTGTGTCCTATCCACTTCCACCGCTTCTTCCTGATTTCCTCCTCCACTGGAATCTGACTTGTTCTCTCCCACAGTTCGTTGTTGCTGATGGTGTCTGGCCAACGAATCCGAAGTATTTTGCATAGACAACTGTTCATAAACACTTGTATCTTTTGGATGATGGCTT